CCTTTTTTTTTTTTTTTTTTTTGACTTTCAAATCCTTACTGTTTTATATTTTTTTCTTGCCTTATTACACTGTAGAAGGCCTTTAATGTAATGTAGACTATAATTAGTAAACATTTTTCATTTTAATTTTTAAAAATATATACTTATTTATTTAGATTATTTTTAAATTTAATTTTATTATAATCTTTTTTATATTACATTGAATCACATATATCTTTACAGTGTATTACATTTATTTTTCTAGCATGATTACTGTGCCTATCAGTCAAGACAAAGACATTACTATTCACATCATCATCATCAAATAGCTTTTCATCATGTTTTTTCAGATTATTATTATTCCCATTATTTCCTTAAACATTTAATCACTATGTAACATTTAGCTTGTATAAAGAATTTAACCAACATGAAATACTTCTCAGACCAGTCCAATTGAGAATACTGTATCTGTTCTCATCAACAGGTAATAAACCCTTCCTGTGTCCCACTAATGTCTTACCTCTCTTTTTTCTCTTGCTCTTTCTCTATAATCTTCGCGTCTCCCGTCTCATACCACACGTCGTTAGCATCCATAACTATTTTCACTGTTTTTATGCCCTCCAATATTTTGAACTCTACAGTAAAGTCCAGATAGTTGGTGTATATTAAGTGGTTACATACAATATCTTTCTTTACATTCAGCAGTAGATCTTCCATATTCAACTACGTTCTATCAAATGCCAGGGTCTTGTATTTTTATTGCTGCATACTATTCCATAAAGTATATGTGCCACACTTTTTCCATCTACTCATCTGTTTGTGGATGTTTGGGTTGGTTCCATGTCTTAGTGATCGTGAATAATGTTGTAATAAACATGGATGTGCAAGTTCTTTTCCGACTGAGTATTCTCATGTCCTTTGGGTAGATACCAAGGAGTGGGATTGCTGAATCTAATGGTAGTTCTATTTGTAGATGTTTGAGAAACCTCCATATTGTTTTCTGCAGTGGCTAAACCAGTTTATATTTCCACCAACAGTGTAAGAGAGTTCCCCTTTTACCACATCCTGCCAACACTTATCACTTTTTGTATTTTTAATCTTCACCATTCTGACAGGGATTAGGTGGTATCTCATTGTGGCTTTAATATGCATTTCCTTTATGATGAGGGATATTGAACATTTCCTCATATGGTTTTTGGCTATTCGTATGTCTTCCTTAGAGAGATTTTGGTTCAGCTCATTTTTTCATCTCTTAATTGGGTTAATTAATTAATTAATTAATTAATTTTTTGAGTAAGGCACTTGAGTTCCCTGTGTATTCTGGTTATCAGTCTCTTGTCTGAGGCATATTTTACAAAAATATTCTCCCATTCTAAGTGTTGTTGGTTTACACTCATTACGTGTCCTTGGCTGTGCAGAAATTTCTTAGTCTGCTATAATCCCACTTGTCTATTTTAGGGATTATTGCCTGTGCTTTGGGAGTCTTGTTTAAGAAATCTTTGTCTACCCCAATGTCTCCCAGAGTTTCCCCAGTGTTTTCTACCAGTAGTTTTATAGTCTGAGGTCTTAGGTTCAGATCTTTGATCCATTTTGAGTTGATTTTTGTTAATGCTGAAAGAAGGGGATTCAATTTCATCTTTCTGCAGGTGGATACCTAGTTTTTCCAGCACCATTTACTAAAGAGGTTTTTCTTTTCCCAGTGGGTTGACTGATATCCTTTGTCAAACTGTAAGCTCTGGGATTTATTTCTGAGGTCTCCATTCTATTACATTGGTCCCCCTCTCTGTTTTTGTACCAACCCCATGCTTTGATTATCACAACTTTATTGTATATCTTGGGGTCAGGGGGTGAGATGCCACCCATTTCTCTCTTCTTGCACAGGATTACTTTGGCAATATAAGATCTTTTATGATTCCAGGCAAATTCAATGATTGTCATTTCTAGATCTGTGAAGAATGTTACTGATATTTTGTTTGGAATTGCATTAAATATGTAGATTAATTTGGGTAAAATTGCCATTTTGATTATGTTAGTTCTTCCAATCCAGGAACATGGCATGTCCTTCCACTTTTTTATGTCCTCTTTAATATCTTTTGTAAGATTTTCAGGGTTTTTTGTAAGGGTTTTTGACTTCCTTAGTTAGGTTTATCCCTAGGTATCTTATACAACTTGTGGCTATGGTGCAAGGGATTCCTTTCTTCAGCTCTACTTCATTTAACTCGTTGTTCATATATAGAAGTGCTATAGATTTTTGGATGTTGATTTTGTATCCTGCCACTTTACTGCATTCATTTATTAGTTCTTAATCATGAAAGGATGTTGTATTTAATCAAATGCTTTCTCTGCATCAATTGAAATGATCATATGCCTTTTATCTTTCTTTCTGTAAATATGGTGTATTATATTTATGGTCTTGCATATGTTGAACCACCCTTGCATCCCTGCGATAAAGCCTACCTGGTCATGATGAATAATCTTTGTTATATGTTGT